CAATTATACAAGTACCTAAAGGCCATAATTTCGAAAACTCTGGCTCATTTATTGTGGCTTATGTAGCTCAGTATCATATTAATCAATACCATAATTTATTGAGACCAACAATGACAAAAGCAAAGAAAATGGGAGCATATACAATGGCTCAAATGGATTCATGATGACAATATTGACAAAGGAATGTGAAATGATTTTTGCAGCAATTACAGTAGACAACATAAGAGTCATAATTGAATGAACATCACACAGCAAGTGAAAAGCAACTATGGACTATTTCAGTTTTGATTCTAGGAAGAATGAGTAATAATTTTCCCAGAAGTTAATGGAGCATTCACTGACTCATGGAAGTTTAGCAAGTGGAAATGAACCCCTCATTTTAGCATCCAAACCACTCTGAAGTGATACTTGTGGATAAATAAAGCCATCCATCCATGGGGCTCAAATAAGATTTAATATTGACTTTAGTATACACTATCAAAAACCATCCAGGTGAATCATGGTCTATTACTTCTCATAAGAAAGCAAACTAGAAAAATCTTAACAGAAAAAGTTGGCAAAGCAAACAACTGAATTGTATCTTTCACAGTTGAAGACTTCAAATATGTAAGAATATAAAAAATAATTTAAAAAGTATAACCATGAACCTGTCCTAGGGAGCTTGTAGACAGTAAACCAATCTTCCACGTTGTTGTGATGGATGTACATGTTATCTTTTTTTTCCTTCTTCCATCATGAACTTCTACAAAATATAATCTATAAAAAGTAATCCAGTTTTAGAAAAATATTTTGTAATAACAAGAAGTCTAGAGAGAAGTTTTAAAAATCTTTGGAATCCCTTAATCTTTATAAATTTTTGCTTTGTTTGGTTGACACACACACACTCCTTTAAAATAATAACCGAATGTTCTTTACATATGTTTCAAATCATAAGTAAAACCAACTGCATTAGTATTTCTATGATACAAATTTTTAAGAGCAAATTCAACATACCACCTTGCAATCTTATAATTTAAGAGGTAACAAGAGTCCTTTTTATATTGTAATATAACATACATGGCTAACAAATTGAGCTCAGATACAAAGGGAAATTTTACAATTTTTTACTCAAGTTCCTTACCAAATGCTTTATTTTTAAAAGGACAAATAATCTAGAAGATTATTCGCATAAATGAGAACAGTGAGTTGTTGTTATTGCTGCAGTTGTTATTTGTGTGTACATACACCTAAGCATACAGTTCTGCTCATCAGTATTTTCTTACCAAGACATATAGGGTCAATTTCTTACAGCAGTAGAATTGGACTGCTTGTTTTCAAAGAAGGCACAC